TATTATTACTTTATGTTCCTCAGTCATAAACTGAATTTTTTTCTTCTGCAGTTAAACAATATTTTGGAGTTCTGTTGCTTTGCCAAATAGTGCTTTTCATCGTTATCCCATCTGATATGTAGTCCTACAGTAGTGCACAACAGAGCTGATGTTTCACTTTACTCTTCCATTCTTTCTCTGTGTCTTTGCCCAAGTGTTCCCTTCTCAGCTCCTCAGTGTCCTTACAGCACACAGCTTCCAGCAAACACCCAGAGGATCAGCAGAGGAAGTGGAATAAAAAATACAAACTGATGTATGTGGTAGTTTGTCTCATGCTGTTACTTCTGCAAGGAGAGTCTGTCACAGTGTGCCACCCACGGGATATTTTGAGTTCTACAGCCTTTATTTTTAAAGGTGAGAAGTTATTTCAGGAGAGGAAGGAAAAAAGGCACGATTAAGCATGATATGCTTATAAACATTCTGAAAACAAAACTTTCCTTAAAAAAAAAAAAAAAAAAAAAAAAAAAAGACTTGTGACCAAAATCTTTAGAACAGAGGGGGCTGGGCAGTGGTTCAGTGAGAGACACCAGAGAAGCAGCAGAGCCTGGGCTGGCACAGGCAGCAGCAGGATGACCTGCGGGGCAGCCCTGCTAAAGTGCACTGCAGACTTTGGGGCCCTATTCAGGATACAAGATGAGTTCAAGTTGCTTTGACAAAATACCTTATTTATGACATAAAAAATGAAGACTTACTGTAAGCAGTGCATTCATTTATAAAGAAGTTCACCTAGTGCACATTAGTATTTATTCTTTCTTTACTATGAGAGCGGTGAGGTACTGGAACAGCTGCCCAGAGAGGCTGTGGATGCCCCATCCCTGGAGGTGTTCAAGGCCAGGTTGGATGGGGCTCTGGGCAGCCTGGTCTAGTATTAAATGGGGAGATTGGTGGCCCTGCACATGGCAGGGGGGTTGGGGATTCGTGATCCTTGAGGTCCCTTCCAACCCTGGCCATTCTGTGATTTCTACACTTAAATAATACTGTTGTGCCGACCTTTTTTTGTTCAGAGTTGAAAACTTTCAATAATGAGTTGCAATAATGCAGTATGAACCCTTGTTGAAGTGATGCTTCATAACTTGCAGGAAATGGAGGCATGATTATTCTCTCAACTGTTTTTTAACTTTGTACATTGTTAGCTCATTGTTACAGTAAGTGGTCACCCATCTGACACGTGAAACAAAGAGGTACAAACCAAGGGAGGTCTTTGTGTCTCCAGGAAATCCCTGAGGCCCATCAAAGTGGGGCCTTGCTCCGACTCCTCCCCTCCTGCCAAAGTTCAGAGGGCAGATAACAGAAGGGCAGAGTAGGTTGTCTGTGATCGCCTCTGCTGTTTTGTTCGCAACAGATCAAGAAGGGATATGGAGGCTCTGTTCTGGTTTGAAAGAACACGGAAAACAGATTTACTATGTAAAAACTCTCGTAAGATAAGAGTTGTGATTTTTGTTCGTTATTTCTGAACCTGTTTTTATGTAAGTACAAGTAAAATCACACTGCTAGTCGTACTTTGAAAGCACATGCATTTGTTTTGTTTTTTTGAGATACCTGCTGAAAAGGAACCTCCGAGCTTTGAAGGCTGTGAAGTAGGTTTTGTTTGCCACCTTCTGGAAAGTCTTTCAGGTGTGCAGATAAGAAAAAGAGTATGCTGCTGAGCTGTGTAACAGGAGTTATTGTACAAGTGAGGCATAGTAATGTTGATTCCAATTCCACAAGGTCATTTGATCTCTTTATAGGAATAACCCTAGAGGATTTAAAAGCAAGATTATTAACAGGGAATAAATATGAAACCTTAAAATTGTATGTTAATAATTAAAAAGGTTTTTAAAAAATGTTTATATACATATCTACAGCTTTCATGTTACTGCATGTAGTTACTGAGTTTTGCCCTTTGAAAGTCAAAGCGAGCATACAGATTTCTCAGTCAGTCAATATAATTTATTTGCTATCTCTGGATTTGTTGAGCTAAAACCATACTGCAACATTATTTCAGATGTTGGTTACAAACTGACTTACAGAAGTAATTGAAGTTGGTTCTTTACTATGAGAGTGGTGAGGTGCTGGAACAGCTGCCCAGAGGGGCTGTGGATGCCCCGTCCCTGGAGGTGCTGGTCAGATTGGATGGGGCTCTGGGCAGCCTGGTCTAGCATTAAATGGGGAGGTTGGTGGCCCTGCAAGTGGCAGGGGGGTTGGAGATTCGTGATCCTTGAGGTCCCTTCCAACCGGGGCCATTCTGTGATTCTGTGATGCTCAAAACCAGCTTTGTGCCCACAGCTGTGCAGTAAGCATGCCGCCTCTGAAGTGTTTTCTCAGCCTGCCTGCTGGTTCGTTAGCTTTGTCATTGTGGCAAAGTGTGTCACGATCTTACAGAGCATCATAATTTTCCCCTCCCCATTCTGAAATGTAAATAAAGGTTTTGCTCTTCTTGTGGAGGTTGAATCTGGTATTGTTTAAGCAAAGAGAATAAGTCAATAATTGTAATATCTGCACTGACCTTGTAGAAAATAAAATCAATATTATCAATATTAACACAGCTGTTGAAAGTCTGAGAACAAAACTCAGAGCCAGCCAGAGCCCTACTGGTTTTTATTTGTTTTCAGTGTTAACACTATTTGAAGTTTCTTCTTCTTCTTTTTTTTTTTTCATCAAACTGTCTCAGAGAAATGCTTCTCATTGAGTGAACAGAGCTGTCACAAAGGGCTGGATTTGGGTGTGCAGTGCTTCTGTAGCACTGTGCTGAAACCTTTGATGACAATAACTGCTGGCAATGCGGAGGGTGTCTGTCAAGTTGTGCATGGCACATGTAATAACTGATGGAAGGTTTCTCATTTGCTTTATCTATCTTACAGGTATAAAACACATTCCTAACTGGCACAAGCAGCAGAAGGCTGTAGTGGCCACCTGGGTGAGAGAGGCTGCTGTGTGCTGGCTCAAACTTATTCTAGACAGCTGAGGAGCTGCTGTAAACACCAGGGGAAGCCAGGTGCATCAAAGCTTTACTCTCAGGCACCACAATGTCATTCAGCTGAAGAAGCACAGCACCCTTTCTTGAACTTGGCACCCAAAGGTTGGGTGTGCACTCCTGGGGAAAGGGCCCTCTGTGCCAAAAGGGATATGAGTGCTTTTCATTAATGATGTCCTACACATGACAAGTTAGGTAGGTGCTTACTTGAAGCATTTTTGTCTCAAATGGAGGGAGCAAAACACAACAGTTTTGCAAGAGGAACTACTTAGGGGATATGAAGATTTCCAGTGGAAATTGCCAGGGTTGGTTGCTAGTTTTGTTTTGGACTTTCCTGAACACTCTCAGTGCTCTGAAATCACTGTTGGCTTAGCAGCTCTAGAGGGAAATGTCCTTTGACCACTGACTGTGACTTGGCATGCCCCATATTTGTTTGCATGGTACAGCTAAAAAAGGAATCAACCTTCAGTTGGTTGGCTTATTGGAAAGGTTATTGCTAGGAATTTTGGGGGGATTTTTAAAAGAAATACAGTACTGTTTTATCCAGACTGTGTCATTTTTGTTGTAGGGTTTTTCACTCGTGTAGTTCTGTGGATGCAGCTACCAAAGCACTGCTTTTGTGAGGCACTAAAAATGTCAGTGTGTATTCAGAGAGGAACTAAAACTGTAGTTTGTTTCCAGACTGTGCTGTAAGTCCTGTAGATGCTTATGGGAATAAAAATAAGGATAGATGAAAGGTATCTGCTGGTTTTGACGTTGCTGATTATAAGGCTAAGCATGCATTTTCAGGACTAGCATCTGGCTTTGTAACATTACAATTAAAATATGGGAAACTTCTCTGATTTATTTTTTTTTCCTAAGTATTTTGTGCACTTCACATTGTGTAGAGCGAGAGGCCACGACTCTTGAAGTCTGCATCTGCCTTTGAGCTGAAAAGGGTTGCTCTGTCTTGCTCCGTTCTGCTCAACAACTGGGCAGCACTTGTTGAATTGATGGGAGAACCACGTGTGTAGGATTTACCACTTCCTTGGCTAAAGATTGTTACAGACAAAAACAGCCAGATAAATCTCATACCTGAGTCAGTCACTACAGATGGTAGGCCATTTCGGAGTCCTCTCCAGAGGATTGGGATATCTCTCTGTTGAAGATTAAACTATTTGGCAATGTATACTAGGAGATAGTTCTAATTTGTAATGCTTACCTGTACCTCATTTATTTATTTGCTTATTTGTTTTTCTGAGGTATGTAATTTTGTTCTGTGGAGTGTGATAGTTATAGGTGGTTTGTTTCTGAAGTCTTCGTTGTCAATTCTTAAAGCCTATCCAGTTCCATAAATTAGGTCTTTGAGGGGGGGAATATACTTTGTAACATCAGAAAAATAGTATTTTCTCTCTCATCACTTCCCTGCTTGTTGATCTCATGCATCAGTGCTTTGGCATGAGTGCACTCAGACAAGCCTCTTTCCTCCACCCTGCTTTTCATTCTGTACAATCCTGTCTAAGCAGAGTTGACCAATCAAGAAAGCACTCCAGCATTTCTCTTGAAAGGAGTTACTGCATCCAGTCAAAATTTGACAGATGTTTTATTCTATTAGATTTAATTCTTTAATAATATTTAATTCTATAGCTCCATATTCTTGGCTCAGAAGCCTTTTGACAGCTTTTGTTTAATTCTTCCTTCATTTCATAATTCTTTCAGTATTCACTTGCTAAAAAGTAAAGCATTCTCTTAAATATATGAATGTGTAGATCTGTATGCTTTCCAGGCAAATTCTTAGTAGTCATGTTTTGTAATGTATTCCTGTAATGCTTTGTAATCTTCCTGCCATTTCTTATGCTTTATTTTTATTTTGGTTTGACTCTGGATGGTGGGGAGCAGGTGAAGTGGGAGGGAACAGGAGATGTTATTTTAATACATAAAATGCAGCCAGTTGAATGTTGCTCATTTCTATGCTTGTGTGTGTCCTGAGTCCTTTTGTCTGAAGATAACACAAATATGCTTTGTTTAGGAATTTGAAGGAAGAGCCCTACGAAGAGATGACGTGCAACGGCCCAGATAGCTCCGAACCTGGTGCCACTCCAGCCACTGATGGCGACCAGGAGTGGACCCAGGAACACAACCGACTAGGAACCTTTGTGGAGTTTCCCCCTGACTGTCCAGTTTCAGCATCAACACTTGCTCGAGCTGGCTTTGTTTATACTGGAGAAGGTGATAAAGTCAAGTGCTTCAGTTGCCATGCGACTGTTGAAGGATGGCAGCCCGGGGATTCTGCGGTTGACAGACACAAAAACCTTTCCCCAGATTGCAGATTTATTACTCAGTCTGCTTTTTTGGAAAATAACGTACATCCTCTTGTGCAGAGCCACCGGCATAGGACTGAAAATGGCTCCAGCAATTTAGCCCTCTCATCTGCTCTGGAGGATTTGTCTGATGTGGAGGCAGATTACCTGCTGAGAACTAGGCAGGTTGTGGACATGTCTGATACTTTGTATCCTAAAAACCCTGCTATGTGCAGTGAAGAAGCCAGGCTGAAGTCCTTTCACAATTGGCCCCCCTATGGCCTATTGACGCCAAAGGAATTAGCTAGTGCAGGACTCTACTATACAGGTGTTGGTGATCAAGTCGCGTGTTTTTGTTGTGGTGGGAAACTGAAAAACTGGGAGCCTGGTGATCGAGCTTGGTCTGAGCACAAGAGGCATTTTCCCAAATGTTTTTTTGTCCTGGGTCGGGACGTTGGAAATGTTTCAACTGAATCTATTTGTGCTGAGCTTGGGAGAAGCTGTCTAAACAACGAGCAGCATCCAAGGAATCCATCCATGGTAGAATATGAAAGGAGGATACAAACATTTCTAACTTGGATATATCCTGTTAACAAGGAACGTCTTGCTGAAGCAGGGTTCTACAGCACAGGTAAGACAGACCTCCAAATGACAAATATATCTTACAAATAAATGCTGTGCAAATATGTTTTATTATGAAAAATATAAGCGTTTTCCTATTCTAATGTTGAATTTTACCAGATTTTTAGTTGAATTGAAATTCATTCTGCTTTCCTCTGCAAAATACTTCTTGCATTTCTCTTGCAAGATTACATCCGTCCTATCAAGTATTTTTATTAGCATAAAACAAAATTATCATATATATATATTTTAGCAGTAGAGCATCAAAACGAGTTTTCCTTAGCTGCTAAAACCCTCCTAACATGTCTTTCACAATGGCAATTATTGAAACTAATAGTTTAAAAAACAAAGTGCCGTCCTCCAGATAACCACCTCAGGTCTAAAGAGCAAGTGTGTAGCTGTGAAGCTTCTGAACAAGACAGCACAGGTTATATGCCATTTTAATTAGTTAATGTGTTTACATTATCATGGCATCCAGACAACCAAAAAAAGCAAGTGTCATTATTACCTACTGTAAAAGCTTTCTGAAGACAAGGACTCTACTGGAAGAGATTTTACTCTTAGAAATACAGCATATCATTTGGATAAGGCTCTAATATCTTTGTGCATTGCTTTTTTCAATCTGGAGAAGGCAAATAATTCCTTGCTGAATGCATGGTGCAGATAAAGCTCTTTGAAATTCTTTACTGAGAGATGCTATGTGAAGTTATGCTATTATTAGGTCACAAAGAAAAGGAGATTATCCAGGATAATTTCTTGCTCTCATCTTAATTGGCTTCTCCCTTAGTAGCTCCCAGAAGAGCTTTTTAATCTGATACATTTGTTTTACTTGTGGCCATAAATAAAACTCTTGATATATTCTTACATAAGTGGAACACGGGCAATATTTGTACTTAGTGGAATTGCTTTATTTGTTCCATCTTGGATTTCTAACAGTAAATAGTTTACCTTGGTCAAGAGAGATCTGTCCTATGGAGGTGAACTGAACAGGCAGTTTATCAGACCAAATGGCTTTTAAAATGGCTTCTGCATTTCTGGTAGGCTGAGAAGGAGTTAGTTTTGATGAAAAAAACAAAAGTAGCCCTACCTCCTCTCATTTCAGTCAGCATAAGTCTGAGCAATTCCTGGTGCAGTCTTTGATGGCAGCAGGCACAGTGCTAGTGCTGAAAGAATGCTGTTTCTTCAGAAATTGCCATCAGTTACGCTGCTGCTGTGTAGAACCCATTAATTTTAATGGTGAAATGGAGGAGCAAAGAACACCCTTTTGAATTAAATTCCTGTTAGTGACTTCCATTCTTGTTTAACTGTTACTTAAATAGAAAGCAGAACTCTGGTCGCGAGGACAGATAAAATTGTGTCAGTTACTTTCCAAATAAATTTTTTGTGGTAGTCACTTAATGGCTTGTTTATCAGTGGAATGTGCTATCTGATAATAGACTCTTTTTAGCATTTGCTTTTTATCTGTTTAATTACTTGCTAAATTAGAATTATGAAATATTATATGTGACTTTATTTAATGTGACTTTAAGGTCAATTTTTTTTCCTGAATGTTTGTTTCAGATCATATTTATTGTACTCTTTAAAACGGAGTCTTTCCCAATTACAATTTCTAGTAAGTAATATAAATGTTTGCTTTCTGTAATAATGTTTTAGCTGAGAACTCACTGTCACACCTACTAAAAATGTGTAACCTGGGTGTTTCCTAAGGTAATGGCGATCACGTTGTGTGCTTCCACTGCGGTGGAGGATTGCAAGAATGGAAGGAAAATGAAGACCCGTGGGATCAACATGCCAAGTGGTTTCCTGGGTAAGGTATTCTTTGTTTCTGCACATAATAGAACCATAGAATCCTTAGAGTTGGAAGGGACCTCTAAGGGTCATGTAGGCCAACCCCCCTGCAATGAACAGGGACGTGCACATCTGAGTCGTCTTCCTAGTATTTTGTTTTTATGACAGAGCCTACCAGTAAGGATTTTAGAGGGCTGACTGTGACTTTGATGTTGTTGCTATTTATGACAATGGGGTTTTTTTTGGTTTGCACATCCACATCAGTGTCAGTGTTTCAGAGTCTCACAATATACCACATAGATGATTCCAAAAGTAACGTCTCATTTATTTACAGGGGAACTACAACAGATGCAATAAGCACAACTGCACTGTCTGATAGAGCAAATTCTCAGCTACAAAATGTTATTTTTCAGCATAGCCACCACCATTAGGTTTGCGTTTTCACCAGCAATGAACAAGGGTCTGTATGCCACGCTTGTATAAATAAATAAAATCTGCCCCAGCTACTGCCCAGTAGCTTGGACTGGTTGGAAAATAAAGAAAGAAAACACAAGACATCTGCATTACCAGTGGCTGCTTTTCTGTGATTACAAGCTTCTAAAAGAGCCAGTGTTTTGACATGGTATTAGCTATTCATTATTCACTGGAATTTTTTCCTTTTATAAACCTGCAGCATAAGGTGGCATGGCCAACTGCAACACACAAGTACTGCTGAGGCAATTAAGAACTTTTTAGAAACACTTAAGTGATATTACTGATGTTGAGATTTGGGAAGAAAACATTCTATATGATGTAGGAATTGAATCAAACCTTTATGAAATACATTATCAACTTCTGTTTGCTGCTTATGTAGTTACATGATAACTAAATATTTTTGTTTATAGGTGCAAGTTCTTGAGAGAGGAAAAGGGACTAGAATTTATAAATAATGTTCACTTAAGAGATGGATGTAGGGATTCAACAGTAAGTGTCTTACTTATTAATAAAATATCATTTTACTTAAGTAGAAAACAATCTTAACAATTTTCATATGAAATCAATCTTCTGATCATCTGCATAACTTTTAGTCTTCCTGCTGCTTCTTTTCTTGGCAGAAAGTAAAAAACATGGAAGTATGTTTTGATTCTGCTATTTGAGTTTCACAGATTATACAGTTGTCCCTACTTAGGTAATGAATGCCAAGTTGGGTGCCTTATCGATGTTTTATATTCTGTACTGAATCCTTTATATTCTGATACTGCTAATCCTTGTAGGCTGGGAACCAAGAACCACGTACATCTTATTGCAGCAAAAAAGTGTCAAAGTGAAAGCTTAAATAAATGTGAATACCATAACAAAGTATGGAGCCCTTTGTCAATGTTCAGAGCAGGACAAATCTGCTCTAACTATAGTAGTTTTACTCAATAAAATAACTGAGATCAAATAGCTATTTTGTGTCTTGTAACTGTATAGGTTTCCTTGTACTCATTCCAAAATTGTAATTTTGTCATCTTTTTATTTATTTTTTAGATAGAAGCTGCTGAAGTTACAATACTTCCTAAAGGTATATATTAAAAATAACAATAACAATAAAAGCAAATTGTTAATTTCTAAGTAACTCATATTTTTCAAAAACTGCAGGCAAATTGTTGGGTGATATTCTTCTACTGCTTCATTCCTTCTAAACAACTGCACAGTGAATTTTGTTTCTCATGGAGTAACTCTAATCATCAATGGATAAATATAGTGAAGAAGATTTGTGAACTGTGAAAATAGCTGCATTGAATTAGTAGTGGTACAGGACAAATGCTGCAGGATACTGAAACAAAATGATTGTTGTTGCTTTTCATGAGGTGGGAAGAGTTAAATTGTAAAATGACAAGGAAGCTGGGAAGCTGAGAAAGCTTAACTTATGTGCAGGAATGTCTTCTGCTGGAATAATGTTTCTTATGAATATGGAAAAGACGAGATGGTTAAAGGAACAATAGGCAGACAATCGTGCTGCAGCATGGTGTGGAATGAAAGCTCTTGCTAATAAGAGTGCTTGCACAAGACCTATTTTTAAAACTTTTCAAATATTGCTTGTTTGTGAGAGGAAATTGTTTAAAAATTTTGCTCTTTGATCAATTATGTGAGGTAAAGAAGAAATTAGTTGTTTATGTTAGTAGGAAAGCTGGACATGGGACACACTGCTGGCAAACCTATTCAAACAATTGCATTGAAAAAGAGAGAGGAGGAAGTCCCATAGACTGAAGAGCAGTTGTGTCCTAAATGAGTGCTGTGTGTTACCCTGGAAGAACTTCAGAAATTCTGAAATGATTGTGCTTGGGTTCCATAAATTCATATTACGTGTTGGTTTCTATTATCAGACAGATGTGTTTTTTCTGAGCTGAATTACAACTAATGTAAAGATAGCAAATACTTTTGTGTTTACTGTTCCTTGGGATTTCTGATGATTTCAGTCTATGCTCAATTTTGGAATTTATGATGTTAATTATGTATGATGTGATTTAAGGAATTATGTTGAAAAATGTTGAAGTAGTTGATTTGAATAGCAAATCTAGGAGGATTTCCATACTATAAGTAGATGAAGAGGGACTGGGAAAGCAAGGATTGAAACGCTCTCAAGTTTTCCAATGCAGTACTTAAAAGTAGCAGAACTGTCAAAACAGAAATGTAGTTCTTTTTGCTAAATATCTGCAAAGGTGTTTTAACTATAAAGAATACTGTCACATATTCAATCTCATCTTTGTTAAATTGTGGTGGTTTTTTTCTTCTGTTGTTTTAGATGACCTCTTACAGAATCAGTTGGTACAGAATGCCATACACATGGGTTTCAGTTTGTCTGAGATTAGGAGCATTATGGAAAAGAAGCTGCACATGTCTGGAGAAAGCTATACATCTGTTGAGGATCTGGTAGCAGACTTAATAAGTGCTCAGAAAGAAAATATAAAGGGAGAACCACCAAAAGAAAGCCCACTTGAGCAAGGTGAACTTAGTAAACTGTAAAGACTATGTGTGTACTTTAATAACAACTTGTTTGTCTATGAAGTATATCCTATCATTATCTATTCATTCTGCCCTCTGACTCAAGTCTTGCTTAACATGAAGTTATGATATTGGAACTTAAAATTCTATATATTATTTTGGGGCACCAAAAAAGTTGACCAAGGGGGTGTTAAAATTACTTGAGGTTAGTAGAATGTATAAATGTCATGTGCAAAATAAATTTAGTATTAATACCACAAAACAGTATAATAATGAAGTAATAGTCCAGTGCCCTCTGAGGTTAACTAAAAAGCCAACAGTACTGTGACAATGGCAAGGATAATTGTAAATATGCGGACTGTGGTGAAATAAACACAATTTATTGTCAAAGATTCAATGTACAAAAAATTAAATACTTCACTGCTAAAGTTTTTCAAGTGTAAAATTGGTGCCAGTACTAAGGGCACTGAATAGAAGCATTCTCCTTGGCCAATAAGGAAATGTACTTCTGGACAACGTTCCTTTTTTAATTATTTGTGTTGCAGCCATGCTTGGGCATGCAAGCCATGCTCAGAAAAGCCATTGTGGTATACTCTGCAGATTGACCAGAAACAAGTTGTCTGAATCAAGAGCTTATTTGTAGTTTAAAGACAACCATATGGATGAATTCATAGGGAAAGAAAAGCCCATCTGGTTGGCATGATAGACAGTGTTCTCACTGGCCCGTTCCTTTTAATAACATTTTGCATGGATATTATGCAGAGAAAGAACTTGCAGTGAAGATGGGCATTATTTTTGTGACTGACTGTGGGGAACTTTCCCCATGCTGTAGAAGGCTTTTGTAGTGTGTATTTTCAAATGAGGCTTATTAGAAATTACAGAGCTAATCTACAATGCAAAGAAAATTATTTCTGTATGACAGTTTTTTAAGCTTTTGAAGTGTAGGCATTTTCATAAACAGAAGCAGGGGGGCAAGTGATGATATCCTCATTCTTTAAGCTGAGGAAACTTGCTGAGGAAAAGAACATCCAAATTACTTAACCAGGATTGATGAACCTCTCCTCCACCTTCTGTGTAGGTTTTGAGGAAGCTGTCTGTGGGAAGTCTCTGAAAAAAATGGCCCCTGGTTGCAATATGCATATCCTACATTCCAGAGATATTTCAAGATCTTACCAATATGGATAGCTGAATTCCCTGCACTGGTCTGGGAGGTGGGGAAAAAAACAACAGTTGAGGATTTAATTTCAGTTTGGTTTCTCATCTTGTGTGGTTGTTTGTTTTTTTCTTTTTTCTTTTTAAAGGTGTAACCTTTAAATGACATGGAAAGAAAATCCTTCCTCTTTCTGTGGAGAGGGAAAAAATGAGATGAGGTATTATGAAAGCACGCTAACTACTTTGTGTGTTTATTTTTCTTAGATCTCAGTATTGAAGAGAAGTTAAGACGCTTGCAGGAAGAGAAGCTCTGTAAAATCTGTATGGCTAAAGACATATCGGTAGTCCTCATTCCCTGTGGTCACCTGGTTGCTTGTAAGGAATGTGCTGAAGCAGTTAATAAATGTCCTCTGTGTTGTACAAATATTATCAAAAGACAGAAAATTTTTATGTATTAGTGAAATGTACAGTAGTGTGGATGTAACTGCTCCCTGCTTTATTTCTTTAAACGTGTGTAATGCGACAACAGACGGTTGGGTGTTCACCAGTCTAGCACACGCTTATGGTGCATCTCACTTTGGAGATAATGTAAACAGTAAAGCTTTAATCAACACCCTGAAAAATGAGTTGACTGTCAGAAGCTGCTAGATTTTTGTTTAGAGCACTCGTATTCTACTGCCTCCTTAGTGCTCTCCTTACTTCTTGTGCTTTTACTTTGAAGTTGTGATTTAAAATAACTGTTACTCTATTTTCAGATCTGTTTGTGTTCACACTTCTACTAATCTTCTGTGAATACAGGAATTAAATACATATACAATCTTTCAGGAAATGGCATAGGAAAACTGGGTGTTTTGATTGAGTAGCACTGATGCTGTGGTTTTTTTCCCCCACTAACAAGTTTGAGAAATCAGACTATATAAATAGCGGGAAAAAATCTACTTTTTATAGACTGTGTTTCTACTAATTACCATTTGCTCAGCTCATTTATCAAAAATAGACCTGCTTAATTTTCTCTTCTAGTGGGACCAAGGGTAACAGCTTCATCAGAGGAAATAAATTGATTTAGGGTAATTTTTATGTTGCTATTTTGAATATTCAGATATCCAAATAGATTTTCTGGGGTTAAAATTCTTACTGATTCGTTAGATGCTACGTGAAGGACTTCATTTTATGCATCTTATCCCCTACTAATCTAGTGTTTCTAGTTTGAAAAACATCAGCTAAAATACCTTTTCATTTTATTCTTGTCACTTGCCTATCTTAAGAATAAAATAACATCAGTAGGAGTAGCTTTGCTATAGGTTCTGTCTTCTAGCTACGATTGTCTGTGTGCTACTTTGTAGGTCAGTAATTAGATGCCTTTACTGCCACTGAAGGATGTCTATCTGTCTTGTCATTCTTGTTTACACTTGTAAGCCTCTGTAACCGGTCTCAAATAATAATTAACAGGCTAAACAAACACGAGCAACACAGGAACTAGCTCTGAATAGTGTTGGTTTTCTTCTCCTTTCTTCTTAGATTGACAAGTTAGCAACACCCTTGGAATTAATGGACCCTTTTAAAACTGCTCTAAGCTTTAAAAATACCATAACTGCCTCTGGATATCTGTGACTAACGAAAGATGGAAACTGTAACTGATGTTAATCATGATGTTAATCAGAACACTCATTCTTAAGTTCATTTCATGTGCCACCTACAGACATAAAAATGCAGACAATCCTAGGGTGTAATCACCTGGCTGTATTTAAGTTTTTCTGCTGTCAAACTACATGTATTTAAATATTCTTAACATTTTTCTTAATTGAGTTTTTCTACATCAAATCCAATACTGAAAGGCAAGTAGAAGCCAATGACTTCTGGTAGGTCCACTTCATAGACCTGGTTTGGCAAAGCCTAAGCAATGCAGAGCTTTATTTATGTCATCGTTCCTTTGTTTCACTGTGGAGAGACTCTGTGTAGCTGAAGTTTATGCAAATAGAGTTGTTATAAAATCAGGCCCTCTATAAGACGTGTACATGCTCATTTTTGAAATTCTGACTCTTATTTGTATGTATTTCAACTCAGGTTCTAGCATCTCAAAAACGCGGTCTGATTGAAAATGTTAGCTCTGTAGCTTTGGTTGTGACATGATTCAGAGAATGTGTAAACCTGCTGCTGAAAGATTTTAGATTGTTACTACTTTGCCAGTTTTTCTGTTGTGATCAATAGTTCCTGTATCCTCACTCACTGTTTCTGTGTAAGTAAGCCTCAGAACCCTGGTTTTAGCCTTCTGCTTTTCTCAACACGTCCCTCTTGTATACAAATGTCATTCCTTACAAGTGAACTCGACAGAAATGAAGGATATTCTGCATACCTCGTGCCCTTCATTATGACAGGAGCTAGCTTATGAGACATTCAGTGTACGTTTGTCTCACGTTTCTAACATTTAGCATCATCCTAACTTATTTTTTCTGCTAGTGTTTTAAGTATAGCTGGTTTACAGTAACACTAATTATGTGACTTCCTATTTATGTGGGTATACTAATCTGTTTCTGTTTATACAGAAATTTTATCTTGGGTCCTACACACTGAGTAATATATTTGATTAATGATACTTTATAAAGAATATATAGTTTTTCACACAATGAAGGTTTTAAATGCAATATACAGAAATGTAATGTCTCTATTTTTTGTTAGATATTTGCTATGATTATATGAGATTTCATAGAACTGACATGTTGCTCCAGTGCAATTTTGTGTGTATTTAAAATAAAGTGCAATCCAGTTGTTCTCGGAGTAGCGTGTTTGATTCTTACATGCAAAAGAAATAACAGAAGGTTGGATTCTTTTGCTTTTTTCTTTTGTCACTCAACTGTTCCTAATTTAACATGAGTGTTAGTACGGATGGGAAGTATGTTTTAGGTTGAAGGGAAATAATATTTGATTTGTATGTGTTAAAATTTGTTGCTTTTTTTTTTTTTTAATATTCATTTAGCTACTTTTTGTAATAAATTGGAATTTGGTTCCCAGGAATTGAGTAGAAACTTCATAAAGAACTCAGCACTAGGATTTATGTTCCTCTTCTGGGAAAAAATAAATATATCATTCCGGTAAGAAAGGTTTTGGTTTTGCTTTTTTTTCCCCCCCTGACTTTTTGAAGAGCTTGGTGTTTGAGAACTCATGCATACGGGGCTTTTTCAGGATTGATGCGGGTTGGCAGTTCTGGCAGCCTTGTCTCTAGCTCCCATTTTCACATACAGGGAGGGCCTGTGTTAACTTGCAAGGGAAACTAAAGTGGGGGGTGTTGGCACAGGAGCTAATATATCTACCTGAAATAGCATGTTTGGTTATTGGTGCAAACCAGGTTATGCTGCCTTGCTTAAGCAGATGGTTTGTTACCTAACCCTGACCTAAGTCACGTGAGAGACTGAATGAGCTGGATCTGGCTTACAGCCTGCAACTTTTGCCATGTCACTAGACAAAAGTATTTGGGAAGAGGCTGACCAAATTCTGTTTAGAACTGTTCCAGAACAAAATCCTAGCAGGGAGGTGATTTGGGGTACAAATCTACTATGTAAACTCTTCAAGAGAAGATAATAGAAGTAGCTGACAATACCTTCAAAACTGAAATGGAAAGAAAAACATTATCCAGTTTCTATGCAAATTAATATGAAGTGCTTCAGTTTACAGCTCCTTAATGCTTCTAAAGGGCATACTGTATATCTGGGATTTTTAAAAATCAAATATGAAAGAGCACCATAGTGCTACGCTGAATTGGAATTATTTGGGAACATTAAAAGGTTAAGAGTCTGCTCGCCAAGATGACAAAACTGCTCTGTAGGTTTAAGGGTTGTTTCATTACAATCAGAGTCCTATTCAGACTAAATGCAAGAAAATAATTAGCATAGTCATCAAATTTTGACAGCTTGAATTGGGAAGATTTCCTTTAATTACTTTGATTTTCAGTATCTTAAAGGAGCAGACGCTGATACTGAGCTGAGTATTTAAAGAGAGAGAAATGAAGGATGCAAATAAATGGAATAGAACCACAGGCCCTTTGGAAGGAAAGCTGGTAGCAAGACAGAGATGCCTGGAAGTTGGTTTCTTAAAGAGCTGCCTGGAATTAAGAGCTGTGGAGGAAAGTCAGGTACCAATATTTGGTCACTTTCCTTTACTGGTTACTACGTAGAATCTTATTTCCATTTTGCTGACAACAGTAGAGCTATTTGCTGCTCTAGGATGTTGGGAGATTTATAAGAGTTTTTGATATGTTCTGGAACGTTTTATTTAGAAAACATGGAACTTGCATCCTCATTTAAGAATACCAGAACAAAATAAGGAAAAAAATTGAAGTTTTTGTTACACCTTTAGCTTCTTCTCAGTGCCCTTAAATATGGAGCCCAAAAGAACATACTGATTTATCCTACAGATTGCTGGTATCTGCACAGATGCTTAGCCTCCTTACTTTTTTTAAATCTGTTTTGGGCTTAATCCACAGCCCATAGCATGACAATAATGTCATTGATTGCTGAGGATTTTATTTTATTTTAATTCAGCTTTGCTTTTTAAAACTTCTTTTAATATTGCATAGGTAGCTTTGACCACGATGAATACCCAAATGCATATTTTGGATAGCTGTATGCGTGGCCAGGAGCTACAGGACAAATAGTTTGAAGCTTTCAAAGCATTTTTGTTAACCGAGGATGTGGGGTTTTAAAGTCAGCTTTCATATTGATTTTTATTAAAATTAATAAAATGAAATATAATAGGCTATTAGAAATGAAATCACTTGGATGAGATGTTAATGCAAACACTTGATTACTGCGTTTGTGGAAGACTTCAAGATGAAGTGTTGTATATTAGAATTAAATGGTACAAGATGGAATACAATTTGCTGACCATCAGATTTAGTAACTACTCAGAAAAGAATCTGCCCTGCCTCTCAAAGCATGAGAGGTGTAGTGCATCATGTGCAAGGCCTACCCTAAAAGGCCACAGAGTGAAGAACGTGGAGATCTGTCTGGCGTTAGCAGTATTCTGTGGAGGTAGATAAGTGAGCGAGTTGTTGAACTGTGATCTTTTTTTACCTTCCACTTGGTGCAAGATTGACTCCTGCCAGCAAGAAGGCTGGGTGCCCCAGGGCAGGGTGTGACACTGTGTCTCCTGTGCTGGTTTCAACTCCTGGACCTGCTTTGAGAAGAGTGCTGGCTGCCTTCTTCATACTGCCACTGGTCTGGTGAGACTGCCCTCATTCCTCATGGAACTGAACTGTGAGTTAATACTCAACCTGCCCTCACCCTCTTTTAGTTTTGTGTTCTGTGTGATTAAGTTTTGCTGAGTGGCTAAGAAATCTGATGAGGAAGAGCTCTCCTCAGCTGTGCCTTCACACTGCTTTGGGTTGCTGACAGTACCCTCTGTCTCTGTGAGCCACTGTTGGGCAGGTTTGAGGGATGTGCTGATGCTGCTGCAGAGAAATTGCTGAGCCGTAACTGTGATGTGGCTCTACATGAGAAGACCAGTGACCTGTGATTATACATAAAAACTGAATTTCTGAAGTTTATCCTCAATTTCTTTAACCAGAACTTCATATTTTAGCAATACTGATGTCAACATTACAGGAAAATCACTAATGTTGATTCAGAGAATAACAGCTCTGTGACTGATGTAGCACAAAAACTCACTTTTTTTTCTGGGGCAGGAAAGAAGACAGTACATTGCCAGTGATAAATTGCTTGGCTAAACAAAATCCTTGAGAAAATTTGGAATAAAATGCTATTAATTTTGTTGCAGGTATGTGGTACTGCCAGATAGGTGAAAGCTACTTAGTTGCCTTTGGATGATTACTAATTGTGTAACTTACTTTTGCACGGCATGATGAGATTCATCACTTAGAGCAAACAGTTATCTTCTCAATACGGGCTTTTCAAAGGTAGGTGTCAAGCTGTGCTAGTCTCTTGGAACTCCTGCATAAGAGAGTTGAGTTTCTGAATCCAGGACTGGCTTTACCTCCTTTTCCACTACCCGACCCTGATAGTGTTACATGGGAGAGCCAATGGGATCTGCTGTCCTCAGTGCTTAGTGTTCCCAAAAGGCGCTGTGGAGGGAGAAGCCTTTCAGCTGCTGCTGTTGAGGCTTGCAGTACTTCTGTAAACCTGCTAAAGGAAGTTACATTCTGAAAAAGTATTTTTATCTTAACAGTTTCGAACATCTGTGCAAACTGCCAAGATGTCATGAACGAACTGTTGCATTGCTTGCTACTTGCCATGCATTGCTTCATTAAAAGAAAATCTCAATTACAGCTCAATGACGAGATCACACTGCTTTGCTTGTACCTTATGCTGTATCAGAGAGTTCAGGCAGCAAGAACACCCTTCAGCCCCACACCGGATGGGAAGGAGAGCGGGCTTTCAGGAAGAAGCCTTGAAGCTGGTTGATAATGAAAACTAAATGAAAGGAAACAGTGACAAAGATACAGGTAGAACCTTGGGAGTCTGCTAAGTCAGCCCAGAAAACCATGCAAGCTTATCTGAAGGAGTAATCTGTTCCTTAACCTTATCTGTCCTGTAGGCACCGACCCCCATTGCACGTGCTCCCACTGCAGCACTCCCCAAGCTTTGGCCTCAGCAGTTTGTGGGGAAAAGACCAAGATAAACTGATCCACTGTCAACATCTAGAAAGGGTGTTTGCCTGAAAAGACAGGAGAGAGCTGACTTGTTTATTTGATGGATCATTTTCTTCAAAGCTTACTGATGACAATTTAAAGATAAATATGTTTGACTTCACTTGTTTATCATCATTTTGCTCTGTGATTTTGGGCAGAGTTTAAGCTGCAGAACAATGCTTGTGTCCCAGTTCTACTCACCTAGCCACAAGCCAGCTGCCTTCCTCCCCTTCTCAGGTAAAGCCCGGTTCTGTGTCATCATCTCAGAGAGACCTATGGCTTTACAAAGCTGAGCAGCTGAGAAATGTTGTGTGCTGCATGCTCCTGGGAGCAGAACAGCCCTGTGTGTTCACAGTACCGTGGGGTCTCTGCACAGTCTTTACTGTCCCAGCTCAAGCTGCTTCCTTGCTCAGAGCTAGCTGCTGCCTTTGGGCCCACCTAGCCTCGTGGCAGCCATTGTCTGCTTCTCACTCCCCTTTTTTGTTGTTGGGCAGTCTGTTGTCTCCTGCCTCTCCCTGTACCTCTTCTGCAGGTTTTGTCACTAATGCTGCTGTGGTGCCCGACCCACAAAGCACTCCCTGCCCCATGATTCCTTTGCTTGGGTGGACAGCTTGCTTCTGTCCCCTGGAGCCTCCTAGTTTGGGAACAGGAGTAGATCCTGCCCTGCTGGCGTGGTAATGCTTGCTGTCACATCTGTAAGACTGAAGTCATGCCTGCAGTGAAAGCAGCTCCTCTTAACTAGGAGAAGGGCTTTTCATTATTTCCTCCCAATATTTAGCTTGGCTCTTACACAGTTTAATGATGAAAGCTTTAAAAAGTGGCTATAGGGTTATTATCTCAAGAGAATGAGACCTAGGAGCAAGAACCCCCTCACCTCAAATATGGGAATGAGAGCAGGGCCCTGGCAAGCGAGTGGCACAGGCAGACAGCTGAGGGAAGAAATGGCAGGATGGCACTTGTGCCTTGCTAGAGTTTTAATTCATTTCTAGAATCAAGAGTGAAGCAAAGTTGAAAGTGACAAATCTATGAGCTGTGACTCCACATGACTGTGGGTCTGAGAGCATGTTGGGCAGAAATGGAATCTGAGAAAATTCAGAGCTGAGTGGGATGGAAAGGATTGGTGAAAAACAGGAGCAAAAAGGGTGATTTATGTAAACCACAAAAGGAAGAAGTTATTCACAGAACGGGGAAAGGCCTAAGGAGCTACTGATGTGAAATCTCTCTCCTGTGAGTTAGGGGAAAGTAACCCATTTTTTGGTCTTTATTTTAGTTTCTTATGTAATAGCTCATCTCCAAAAGGTTTCAGAGCAGATTTCCCTGGAGTGACTGAGTCAGTTTCAGAAACTGGAGAAAGAAAATTGGATTGGGAAGACTGCTTTTTGTCTCTGTCCCCAGCAAGACAGATAAAAATATGGCTGTAGCTTATTTAATACAGGTGATCAAGGTCACCACCTCTCCTTGGAATTAATCCAGTGCACCAGTTCTGTTGTGGTTTTTTTTTTTTTTTCCTCCTCTTTTTGTTCCAACTCTTATAAGTAAATCTTTAGAAAAGATAAAAGGAACGGTCAAGGGATGTGCTTTTTATTTATTTATTTTTAAAAATAGAGAAGAGGAAACAGAATTGCAGAGCAATTTCCTATTCTGTTGCTCTCAAAGAAAAGGGAGCAACATGAGCATGAGTCTCCTGTCTGGAGGAATGAATCAGCCATCTGGCAGCTTGAGGGTGTTCCGATCTGCTGGTGGAGCTCTGGCCATTAATCAGACACGGAACTAGTTCAGTATCTGCCCCCTCCTAGCACTGTTTCTTAAATGGGTGACTGATCAAGAGCTCTCTTTGGATCAAGTGTTGTAACAATCCCTGTTGTAAAAGTCATTGTTAAATTGTCACTGAATTGGGCTCACTACCCGTAATGGTGGACTTTGAAGTCTTAAGGGTGACTGTTGTAAGAAAGGTGATGTTGTCCCATAAAGTGCTTTCTCCTCCCATCTTTCTCACAGCTCTTCTGTCAGATACAAACCCTTTCTAGTGAGGTGAGAGCTGTAAAATGTCTCTATTTCCTTATGCTTGGATAACGGATTTTGGAATTGTTATTTTATTGGAGAATATGCTGGAATGCTGAAGTTCTACTTAGACCCTTCAGGATGGTCTTTGATTCCTTCACAAGTTTTGAAAGTGGGTCAAAACACATCTGGAACTGTCTTTAGAAAAGAGAGATTACGTACCTAGCAAGAAGGGCTTTTCATCACATCTCCCCTGTTGCTGTAGGTGTTGGAAGGCTCGGGCTCAGGAGAATGATTTTGTTTTTGGGGAAAAAAAGCAGAACGTGGGCTCTTTGTGGAGCCTTTTTTGTCTTTTGTCTTCCACAACAAATGTTGTGGTTCAGAACTTGTTCCACTATTCTGTCTCCCGTATTCCTATACACAGCTTGACATTGTTTTGGTTGCTTTTCAGGTGTGTGTCACGTAAACTGTTTTCTGTTTATTATATTATCTCAGCGTGGTTCTGTTGGACGAATTCTTCCTGGGTGCAGGTGGGTGAAGAAAAACCCAATCTTCTGTCCTCTGGAACAGAGCAGGCATGTTCTGGGCCTTGAGGAGCTCCTGCACCTCCAGTTGTGCTGACAGAATTGTTTGTGTGGTTGTACTCTAAATAGCATCTGAGAAATGATCTGGTTAGCAGAAGGAAGAAAAAAAAAAAAAAAAAGAAACCAATCTCTCTGGAAAGAAATGGCCCATCCCACCTCTCCGATGATGCAAGTTTTGCTTACGCAGTGTCTGCAGATGAATGGAGCAACTGGGAGGGAGTGGAAATCCTCCTGGTCTGTGTGCCCAGTGATTGGCGTTGTGCTGCTGCACCTGGAGTCGGGTCTCTGGAGAGCTTCCACGAGCTGTTGCCACAAGTGCACAAAACCAACTGTCAGATGAGTCGGGACGTGCAGAAGTGTTATGAATCTGAGCTTTTAAGGTCTGAGTCAGCTTTTGTACCTGCCACAGCGCTGTCAGCACTTGTGCAAGCATTCCTTCAAAGCCGCGCCCCGAGAATAATGTCACGTTTTCATTGTTAAACACAATTACCTAAAAAAATCTCAGCTATGAGGTCAAGCATGTCAAACTGCAGCGTTTGCTCAACGCACCGCATACCTGACGTGTGTCTGAGCGCTTGGGTTTTCCATGCAGCTGACTGAGGCCGCCTGGAGCGCCCAGTGCTTCTCCAGCTCTTAGCAGTACAAGTTATAATCTTTACGAAACGTTGGGTTTTAGTGTGAGTAGCCACTGCTGAAACTGTGCAGGCAAAGCATTGGCTTCGGGAGCGTGCTGTTTATTCTCATGGAGGAGTCTGGCAGCTGTCAGAAGCTGCCGTGGTGTGGGGACAACACAAATAGGTTCAGCTCCTTTTTATCTTTTTCCATGTGTAATTTAATACCTTGTGTAAAATATATATATATATATGCACACTATGATTAAGTTTGGAGCATATGCTTTTATTTGTATTTTTATTTTTTTTCAACAGTGCTTTATTCACAATTTCCACACGTGCCTACGAGCTCCACAGTGGCAGCTCACACTGCAGATAACAGCCGCTGTCACTGCAGCCGAACCGGGAGCACTGGCTTACGACTTGGCGCTCGGGATTCTCACGTTCCCTACAAGGGGACCTTTCTCCTAACTTTCTTCACTCACGGTTTCTTCCCAACCTTTCCTGCAGAAGTAACGCGGTGAGCACACAGCGCGAGCACCGTGCTTGGCGTTGCACAAGACAGGAAAAGAATCAGGACTTGTTTTCATTTCCAGATATGCAATCAAGGTCAAATGTGAGTCCTTGGAGATGAAACACACACACACAAAAAGAAAAAAACCGCACGTTTTTACAGGTAAGCTCCAAGTCCTGGGAGCCCACCGGCGGGGGTGGAACCACGAGCTGGCGAGCAGCGCGCCCGGCACTGCGCAGGGCAGGGAAAATAAACCGAAACAACAGAAACAAACGGAACGGAGTTGAGAGATGACAGCAGCACGTGGACGCGCCGTGCCGCCCGCGCGTGCGGAGCGCTCCGAGGGGCGGCGGGCGGCGCCTGAGAAGAACTGCGCGGGGCGCACCCGGCCCCAGGGCAGCGCCGGCCGTCCCGCAGGCCTTCCTCCCCGCCCTTCGGTCACCCGATCCCGCCCCGCGCACGAAGCCGGCAGCCGCGCCTCCCCCCGCGGCTCGGCCCCGCCCGGCGCTCTCCTCGGCGCGGCGCCGGGGCTCCGCGGCCGGACGAGTCGGGGCGCGGGGCGCGCATGCGCAGCGCCTTGTTTACCCCGCGCGGCGCCGCTCGCCGCGGCCGGCCGGCAGATGTCGCCCCACGCCCAGGAGAGCGGGCCGCGCCCGGCGGCCGCCAGGTGGCGCCTGCGGCCTCCATTCGCTCGCGAGCCGCCGAGCCGCGAACACCCCAAACAATCCCCGGCGCCGCCGCCAAATTAAATAACCTGCCCGCTCCCCGCCGGGCCCAGACCCCCCCGCCGGCACGTCTCCGGGCCGGGCCGGGCGCGCGAGCGGCGGCCGAGCCGGGAACGGAGGAGCGCGGCGCCGCGCCCGGGCCTCCTCGCCGCCTGCGCCGACGCTGGGCAAGGTAAGTTAGAAAATGGCGGCGAAGCTTCTGGAAGTTTGGAGGGGGGACGCGGGAGCGGGGCGCGCGGCGGCGGAGCGGGGCCGGGCCGGGGCGCGGCGGGCCGCGGGGCTTCGGCGCGGCCAAGATGGAGGACGGCGGGGCCGAGCCGCGGAAACGCTCCGGGCCCCGCGCCGCGGCAGCCGCCCCCCCCCACCCCCCACCCCCCCGGCACGCTCGGCGGGAGGGGGCACGAGAGCGGCCGGGAGCGGAGGGCCCCGAAGGCGGCCTCCAGCACGGGGCGCGCGCGGGGCCCGGCTCCTCCGCCCCGGGGTGGGCCGCGGGCAGGCCGGGCCCGGCGCTCGGCGAGCTAAAATGGAGAACCTCCTTCTCCTCCTCCCCCTTCCCCCGAGCCGAGCGGCGGCTGCCGGCAAGATGGAGGACCCGGGCATTGTGTGCGCGCCGCCGGGCGGGGAGGGCACGGCCGGAGCGGAGGAGGGCGGCGGGAAACGGAGCGGCGGCCGCCGGGGGCCCAGCCGGGCCGCGCGGGGACATCGCGGCCCGCGCCCGCCCGCAGCCCGGCGCGACGCGCTCCTTCCTCGGCCCCTTCCGCTCGGAGCGGGGCCGGCGGAGCGCCCCGAAGGCCAGCGCCGTGCTTCTCCCCCGCCCCGACGACGCCCGGCTGCAGCCGCGCCGCCCCGCTCCGCGCGGCCGGGCCTTTGTGGGACCCCGCGGCCCCTCGGGGCGGCCGCCGCATCGCGCGGAGCCGGGCGGGTCGGCGCGGCGCTGGCGGCGGTCATTGCACTGACGGACTGCGTGTGCGGAGCGGGCCGGGCCGCGTGCGGCGGGGTGCGGGCAGAGCCTGAGCGGCTGTGATGGGGGCAGGGGGGGGAGGAGGAGGAGGAGGAGGAAGGTCCGCAGCCGTGCCGGGGGCTTTTGGCGCCACTTTTGTTCGGGGCGCTCCGCCCTGCGCGGCCGAGCTGCCGCCCTGCTCGTGTTCTGAACGTGGGCTCACAGCCGGGATAAAACAAAATAAAATAAAGCCCCGGTCCAACTCCGGCTGCCGACGCGGTGCGGAGCTCGGCGCGGCCGGGAGCTCGGGGCTTCCCAGTGTATTACTGCGTTTGCGGCTGGTTGGTTTCTCCCCCGGCTCCGCTCCCCGCGGGCTCCCGGAGCCCCGCTCGCCCTTCCGCTGCCCGCGCTGCCGGCCCGCTCTCAGCGCCTTCCCTCCGACGCCGGGCCGTGTGGAAGCGCTGCCCCTCCCGCCGCCGCCCGCCCGCTTCCCCCCGCCCCCCCTCCCGGGGCCCATCGGGCCGGGGCCGCGCGGCGCCGGGCGGGACTCGGGTTACCGAAGTGCGTCACGCGCGGCCCCGCCGGGCCTGCTCCGCCGCCGGGCGCCTCCGCGCCCCGCCCGCCCCGCGCCCGCCGCTCATTGGCCGGCAGCGGGCGGGAGGCGGCCGCTTCCTCCCGTCGCCCGGCGAGCTCCGGCCCGCGGCCCGGGAGCCGGGCGGGTTCGCGGGGCCGGGAGGTGAGGGGACGCCGCCGGGAGCGCCGGCTTCGAAGCCCCGCGCGGCCGCCTCGGTGCTGCCTGCGGCGGCGTCGAACCCCGTTTCAAAGGAGCCGAGCGGTGCTGCGGCACGGCGGCCTCCCGGCGCCGGGTCCCGGCGGCTCCCCGCCGCTTCTGGGCGCTTCCCGCCCGGCTCTTCCCCGTTTCCGTGCCCCCTCCCATAGAGCCGTCCTTCCGCCCCTTTCTGCTGTTCCTGGGGCGCGGATCCGCCAGAACGCCCGCGTGTGGGTCGGTTACCGCAGGTACACGAATACCGCGGCGATAGTGCGAGGCGGGCCTTCGTCTCCACCTTCCTGGTGCCGCCTGCTCGCCCCCAGCGCTCCCTGCACGGGTGAACCTCTGACGATGGCAGCAGGGCCCCGCTGCCCTGCGTCCTTTGAGCGGCCAGGGAGGGAAATCTGGGAAGTTGGGGCTGTCGCGGTGAGTTTACCGTTGGGTAAACAAACAGGAAACAACGCTGCGGCTGGGGAGATATGTACGTTTCGCTGTGGAACTTCACTAGGATCAGATACCTCCCATGTTGCCTACCTGAGCCAAAGTTGTGTCTATGGTTTTCTTCCTCTCATTTACATTTTCAGGAAGTCGGAGCCGAGTACAGCCGATGAGGGCTGTGAGGGCCAGCTGGTCCCCTGCCGCAGCACTCTGGCTCAAGTTGTGGATGGCTCTTTGGCTCACCAGGTCTCCGTAGTTCGCAGCTGAAAGCAGAGCTCACCGGTGCCACCAAAGGGGTTCATAGCGCTCAGAGTTCAATGCATAGAATATATTTGGGATCTTTGTAACTATGAAAGGTTGGTAGCTTCATAACTTATTAAAATAGTTAGCTCAAAACTCGTTATTTGCTTAAAGAGCATTCAATTTTTAAAATAGGAATATTAAACTAGCTGGTCATTAACTCAAATTCCATAAATATGTAGCATTCCTGGTTAACATCCTAATGTATTTAAAGATACAGATGAATAGGATGAAGTCATTCCCACTTGGAAGCCATGTGGGTAACACTGATACATGACCTCCTTATTCTGTTTGAGCCCAGTCTGTGAACGGCGTCAGTGTTTTTAGGTTTTGTGTATTAAACAAAGCAATGTGGACAGGTTCTCTTGAATGTTACATGGTACTGCAGTTGCCTATAGAAGACAGCTGCAGGCTACAGACCACTTGAAAGTGAGTGCTCTCGGTGGTGGAAGGAAGTACAGGAGTGTTAGTTAAATCATGGAATGACTTTAGCATCGGAGTGCTGTGAACCTTTTTATTAGGTTGTTCTTTGCCATTTGCAGTTCAAATTTAGAACGATTGGAGTGTCCCCATTTGTCATTCTCATCTGTAGTGGTATTGCCTCAGTTTGTTGCTGCAGGCAAATCTAGGAGAGGTTTGGTTTTCTGGAATTTGTGTGCCGTGTGTTTTGCAGAGGCCCCCTCAACACTGCAGTTGCTTGTTTTTGTCAAGTGAATCCCAGAAGTAAGCAAGTGTTGGTGCTGGTTACTTTGGCCTCTTGGTTGTGTCCTTACAATCCTGTGTTTTGTTGAAGGATCTGAGGTTTTGAGCTCGGTGTGATCTCTGCCAACAGTGTGACCATTTCTTCTCCAAGTAATTTAAAACCCTCAGCAGGTGCTGTGGGTGAATTTCCAAAGTGGTACTGTCTGGTTTTGGGTGAGGAATCAAGGGAACAGATTGGGTAAGGGATGCCTTGTAGATTGTGCCTCTGTCAGCTGGATGCTGTTCTTCCAAGGGCTTTGTTTCCTTTAGTAGTTGTCCTTTAATGGAAGGAAGTGGTTGATAGCAGCCAACAGCGTAACAACTTCAGACTATTAAGTTCTGGTCGTTTTCTTGGTATCAAGAAACATGTCTGCATTATGAAAACTTCAACTTTCTTATATGAGGATCAGTGACAAAGAAGGGACAGAATGAAGCAATAACCAGTCCTTGGGAAAAGGGTGTGTGGGCAAGTGGGGCTTTGGACTGGGCAACAGGAAGCTTGAGCACAATGAATCCATGGTAGAGTGGAAAGGACTGTTCCACACACATCCCAAAAACTTACATGTGACACGCAGTCCTAGTGCGTTGGCTTAGATTCAGAGCAGTCCAACATTTAAGGTCACTTCTACTTCTAAAGTCAAATGGGAAGTGAAAATGGGAATTCTTGATGGTCTCAAACCGTCCTGTCACCAGCCTTAGTGGTCCCCTTCTGTCCTGTCCTGGCTGTGTGCTGGTGGAACCTAGACAAGTCCTAGGATTCCTTCTGCCAGGAGGAGCTCACCGTGTGCCCAGTTCTGGGCTGTAATGCTGCCAGATCAGGTCTGGGAGCCCAGGTGGCTGCAAGGCACTGGGGGCAGCTGAGGGCCCTGCCTTCCATAGCTCCATGGAGCACGGCTCCACCGCAGCATGGTGGGGAAGCCGTGCGGGCAGGGCAGCCTGACGGGCAGGGATGCTGATGTTTTGTCCTGGTGCGGTATGTTTAGCAGGGAGACTTTTTGGTAGCCTTTGCTGTGTTATGTCTGCATAGCTGAAGATCTTGTTTTAGTATTTTTTTTTAATAAAGGTTCTTTCCACCATTCAGCTCTTTCACCATTCTGTCAATGGTTTTTGCATCTAAAGATTAGTCCGGGGCCATCAGTTGGCTTTTTATATTTGGAAAAAAAATAACTGTTTCCAACAGGTCTGATATCTGCAGTTTAAGTATGAGCCTTGAAATGTAATGTGACTCTTAATAAGGTCTGATATCTATTTGTGTTGTACAGTGAGAACTTCTGGGAGCTGGAGATTCAGAATGTGAATTCATACATAATTTGTTTGGAATTTGTTTTGAGTTCAGTTTTCTCATGTTGTGGTTCACGAGATCTGATCAAGTTGGATCTTTTAGACATTAAATACGAAGTTAGAGAAGCTCCTGAACAAGGCCCTCGTTCAGATGCAGATGAATTTAGTGCTGATGCTGGCTTGTTTGTGTTGGGAAACTTGAGGGACCGTTACCTGAACAGTCAAACATTTTCTTAGGTATCAGTGCAAAAAACTGCCATCCTTTCACGTTCATTCAGTTTGATGGCCAGGACCAAGCCCTAAATCTAGTGGGTTATACCACTGCTGTGTTTCACAGTGTGCTGTCTTTTTAGTATTTGTTTATTTCCAGCTTTGCGCTATTAAGGAAACCACAGATGAGCAAGGTACTGGGTGGAAAAGAAGGCACAGTGAGGAGGTTCCCTTCCTTCATCTCACTGAGTGCCTGGACCAAACAGAGCTGAGGAGGTCTGGCACCTGGCTTTGGAGAAGGGGATGTGGAAAAACATGTTCCTGGAGGGCTCTAAGGTAGCCCTTTGTATTTCAGTCTTTTCTAGTCTTCACTGGCTGCAGTCATTTGGAGGAGCACAGTCTGCTTTTGAACTAATTTATTCCAGTGTGAGTAGAAATAAGGTGTGCGTGGACCCACATTTGTATGCTGTTACTTCATCTTATTGCAGCATCA